CACAAACCCTGTGATCCTCCCTCATCTTTAAAACACACCTAGCAAGCTCACCAGCTTTCCTCTTCATGAACATAGCCTCAGATGACAACCCTTTGTTTTCTTCCAATAAAGCTTGCACTTTGTACCCCAATCTAACATTCTCATTCAGTAACACTATCCTCTCTGACTCCAACACCTCAAGAAGTTTCTTTAACAACTCTACTTTCCTCCATATTGATTCTTGACCTAGCTGCTGCTTCTCCATGTCACTAAGCTGGTCTGCTAATATGTCATTCCCTACATTCTTCATTACAAGATCCGCTACAATCTCATCAATGCCAAGAATGGTATTACTTCCATCTTGAAAAGGGAGCGGTGGTTGTTGGTAAGACAGTGAGCTCTCAGCATCCCAATCAATAAACTGGCAGCTGCTAGATCCACGACTGTCTTCTTGATCTTGATCATCATCAAAGGTGATTGACACTGGAGAAGAGAGATGTTTGTTTAGTCTCTTGCTCTTCTCCATTCTATTGCATCTGTCCAGCAAGATTGTGTACCCATTGTACAAGTCTTGAAGCGAAGCAAGAAGTTGAGGGCGTTTCTGGTAGTACCATTCAGCTCTCTCAGCAAAACTATCACCACATCCCATGTCTTCTTCTGATTTGAAGTACTTGAGCAACATTTTCACTCTCTCATCAGCTCCCTCAGTAAGTAACCCACCTGAGGTGTCTTGAAGTAAAGAGATGTCACCCATTTCAGCTCATAGAAATGGCTAGCCAGTCATGTGAATTGCAAGCTGTGAAAGTTGTTTGTTGGCCAAGGATGACTCTTCATATGAGTAACATCCAAATCAACATGTCATGGACCCACCCCTGCAAGGAAATTGTACAAACCCTGATCTCTCTACACTGCTACACATGGGAAGACTGACAAAAAATTGCTTATAAATGGTAACAAAAGAAAGGAACAACCATGTTTGAAATTTAAAAACAGTGGCGAAGATGGAAACTGAACAGTGCTATTTGAACGTTTAAATCGCATTTCCCCCTTTCATTTCTGGTTCTGTAACCCTCCCATTAGATCAAAATGTAAAGTTAGGATACGAAGGTCAGCATCAAGGATGATGCCCTCTCCCTCAATAAATTTTCCTAGTCTTGATCTACCCTTCTTACTTGGGGGACATGACATGGACAAAGACCCCTTTTCTGTGATGATTATATTTTCAGTAATAATTAAAAATAATCAATGAATTTAATGCAGTTTTTTCTCCAAAGTCGATAGATGGATGCGTCGACCAGGCACACAAATTCAAACATGGAGCATCAATAAAGAAATAAACTGTGTTGGAGCACAGAGAGGTCTCTGTTACAAGAATCAAATGGACAATGCAACAAGGCTTTGGATTGGGTGTGTGACAGTGATGGCAGATGGGATTCCAGAACTTGCTGTAAAAAATCCAAACTTTAAACACAAACAGCTCGAATATAGCAGTACTGAAAACAGAAAGATATATCACAAGTTGACAAAGGGTATCACATGAGGATGCTTTCACAACCACACTCTTGAGTTTTCAAGTCATAAAACCTCTTGAAATTTCTTGAGTTTTGAAAGAAAAAAGAAAGAGCTCCGAACATTTACTTCTGCAACGGAGGAAAACGGGTCTTTGGGGCTTTCTCTTCTTCTCCTATGATCTCTAACGACAATGGGGGATTTTTTTTTCCCGATTTAAAGGGTATTCTCGGATCAACCTGTATGTTAATTGAAACTACATTTTCTATATAATTTTAAAAACAAACCATTCGTATCAATCTTGTAAATTTCACAATGCTTCGAGGGGTTATTGTAATTTGCCCTTTTATGTTTCATAAAAAAAATAATTTTGATCTTTGATTTACAAGTTCTGCTGCTACAATAGCAGGATTATTTCTTCTTAAACGGGGATATATATATACGAGGATCTTTATGAAATGTCCATGCTCCAGGCAACTTGAAATCGAATACCGTAGACATCAAGGGATGAAAGAAAGGACTCACGGGGGTCAAAGATGAACTGTAATTTTATAAATTTTTAATTTTTTTTTATAAGAGTTTTCAAATTGTATTTTTTTAAATCGTTTTGATATATAAAAAAATATTAAAAAATTATTATTTTAATATATTTTTAAATAAAATATATTTTAAAAAGCACCAACAGTATAATTTTAAATAAACTATTAATACATATCCTAAAGCCTGTTTGCTATTTTGGGTGTTTTACTTCACATTAGCTATTCACTTATTCACAAAATGCTACTAATGTACTATAATGCTCCTTAACATACCTCTTATTTTTTATTTTATTAAATAATAATATAAATTATATATTAAAATCTCATTTAATAATTTAAATTTTTAAATATAATTTTTTAATATAATATTAAAATTTTATTGCAATTGGTCATGTAATGGAATCTTACCACCTCAATTCTAATTAAAATAAATAAATAAATGTTTAAATAACTTTTTACTTGAAATTATATTAAAAATAATATAAATTATATATTAAAATCTCATTTAATAATTTAAATTTTTAAATGTAATTTTTTAATATAATATTAAAATTTTATTGCAATTGGTCACGTAATGGAATCTTACCACCTCAATTCTAATTAAAATAAATAAATAAATGTTTAAATAACTTTTTACTTGAAATTATATTAAAAATAATATAAATTATATATTAAAATCTCATTTAATAATTTAAATTTTTAAATGTAATTTTTTAATATAATATTAAAATTTTATTGCAATTGGTCACGTAATGGAATCTTACCACCTCAATTCTAATTAAAATAAATAAATAAATGTTTAAATAACTTTTTACTTGAAATTATATTAAAAATAATATAAATTATATATTAAAATTTCACCTCATAATTTATATTATGAATCCTGCACAAATAAATACAATGACAAAGCAAAATTTGTAATATTATCTAATTTTTAGATTATTTATTTTATTTTTCTATTATTTATTTGTTATATTCATCTTTTATCTTTTTCAATGAAGAATTATTCAATATACCGAATTGCATTACCTTTTCTAATATAAAAGTGATATCATAAATAATTTTTCTAATAGAAATATGACAAAGCGAAGTACAACTCCTATTAATCTAATAATTTCCCCCTTTTCAACTTGTTGTTCATACGTATCTTAGAAGATGTAAGATCAATGTCGAGGGCTCCCACTCCAACCATCTTTTGATCCAACTCAGTAATGGGCTACTTTGTATTGGCTCAAGCCTAGATTGGTTCATATGAACAGACCACTTTTATATGCACTAGCCCAGAAGACTTGTTTAATCGACACAAGAAAGGAACCCAAAATTTTCTGCTCGCCCAAAAATCAAGAGCTGCCTTGTATAAAGGTATTGATCTCGTCACTTGGATAATTATTTAAGATTTTTATTTAATAAAACAGTTTAAAAATAAATAAGATATATCTGCCTTGTATAAAGATATTTTATGAAATGAAAATTGTTTCCATTTAACAAAACACTCCGAGTACAAAATGACGATTGTCCAATAAAGTTCTATTTGTTATATATATATATATAATAAAAGATATTTTTAAAAGTCTCATTTATAATTTTGTACAAGTTCCCATTCACCTTAAGCCAACAATACGACACTTTTCTCAAGTAGTTATATCCCCTGAGCTTTTATTTTGTAAGAATGAATAATGTGTTTCATGGGAATTGGTGGATCTTATAACTACAAAAAAACCTAAAAAAGGTTCGAGAATGGCCAAGTCAATGATCACCATTTGTTGCCCTGACCACCATGAGGAAGTGCATAAATAAGCTTTTCACATGTTGTGATTCTAGGTTAAAACTTGTGGGTTTAATATGAGGTTTGTGTTTAGGCTTGCTGGTTGTTGGACTTGACCAATAATTAAAAGTTTGCTTGAAAAAACCAATCATAGTTGGACTTAACCCATAATTAAAAGTTTGCTTGAAAAAACCAATTTATTGCACACATGAAGCTCTTCAATACTTAAATCAGTAAATTAGATAGTAATAAAAATAAAAAAATGAAAAAATTAATAGAAAATATAAGTATAGAGAAATGTTAGGTGTAAGAAATTATGAAATGTTGTATTTACTTTACAACTCAAGATATTTATAAATCTTGATAACGTTATTTCACTTTAGAAGTTGTATGAAAATTAATTGGAGAAAACGTTAATGCTTATCATTAAATATAATGTTTGACATGTTATTAGTGAATGTAAGTAGCATGATGACTATAAATAGTTATCGATCAAGAAAGGAAGTCTAGTTATATAAAATATGATGTGTGTGTGTTTATATTATGCTCATAAAGAATCTCTAAGTAAAAACATAAAAAATTATATGTATGGATAGTGTATGAAACTACTTTTAGACTTATTATAACTTGAAAAATAAAAATAAAAAAGCAAAAGATATGTTAAAGGAAGGTATCATGTTGTTGAGGCCAAGTCCACACGATACGTAGTTATAACTATGTTGTTTGAACCCAAATATTGTGAAGATAATTTTATTTAATGAAGATCTATTTATTGTTACTTATAAACCATTTTTTAAAAAATCATTATTATTTAAGCAACGTTCACCCATAGTTTACTCCAAGATTTAAATGATATATGTAGTGGAGCGATTTGCATGTCCAAAATTTAGCTCCACATATCTTATGTAATAGCATGCCATATATAGCAGAACATTTACATACAAATGCTCTTGCAATAAAGCTTGCTAATTAATAGAAAAAGAATCGATATGGAAGTACGCACACTACACTGTTGCTTTCTTTTCGGTGGATGTTTAGAACTTGAAACATAAGAATCAAAATTATATTTGGAGCAAGCATGACACGCCCGGCTTACAAGAAACGTTTGTCTAAGAATCTGTAAAGCGAAAGTGAAAAAGGAACCAATGACAAGGAGCCTTGCATCCTGTTTATATACGATGAGGGTAGTCGAGATCATGATAATGCAAAAGGAGTTTGCAAAGAGAGTAGTAGGTCATCGGGAAGGGAAAGGAATGTCACCGGTCGGACTGCCTCCTGGCTTTCGATTCCATCCAACCGACGAAGAACTTGTCAATTACTATCTGAAGCGTAAGATTAACGGCCAAGAGATTGAATTAGACATCATTCCGGAGGTTGATCTCTACAAATGTGAGCCCTGGGAATTAGCAGGTATATATCTATAAAATACTACTTCCTTTATGTTACGTTCCCATTACATTTCAGCAGCATCGACAGATCTTTGGCATTCTACCGACAGTCAAGGGATGCTCATGTCCTTACCAGAAGAATAAAGGGACTGGTTCCATTGATCAGAACTTCTGGTGTTGTCTGTTTGTTTTGCAGAGAAATCATTCTTTCCAAGTAGAGACCCGGAGTGGTACTTCTTCGGACCCCGTGACAGGAAATACCCTAATGGGTTCAGGACTAATAGAGCAACTAGAGCTGGATACTGGAAGTCGACCGGAAAAGACAGAAGAGTGAACTGCCAGAATAGAGCCATTGGAATGAAGAAGACGTTAGTTTACTACCGAGGCCGAGCTCCTCAAGGGATTCGGACCGATTGGGTAATGCACGAGTATCGGCTCGACGACAAGGAGTGCGAAGACACCTCTGGAATTCAGGTAGTTCGTGCATAGTTCAAAATTGCGTGATTCATGATATTAATGATGGCTAAAAAATAGTCATTTCTTCCATCACTTCTTCTCTAACTATTTTCCTTTTGCTCCATGGAGCGAGAGGTATGCTAGATCTAAACCATTACAAGGAGTAATTATGGATTGAATTTCTACATACAAAATTTAAATATTTATATCATATACATTAGATTTCTAATATTGATTCGGGTATTCATTACTCGGGTATTTTTTAATATTTAACAAATATATATCTAAACAAACACTACTAGCTAGCTAGGTCAATATCCATTATAGGTCTTTATTAAACTGTAATTTGCAATTACCTTAAAAGAAAGATGATAACAATGATGGGATGCTATGACATAGATGATGATTTGATAAAATTAAACGATGCTTAATTGGAGAAAATCTTGCTGCTGAGTTTTTAAGAGATATATATATATATATATATATATATATATATATGTATATGTATATATAATGGTAAATTTGTTATTTTTTTTATATACTAATCTCAAATTTATTATTTCTTAATTATTACTTCTTAACACAGCGATTGAAATTAATAAGCAAGTCATGCGTTCTGGTCTATATGGGGCAAATATGTGTGATTGAATTAGGGGTAGGGGAGGGTCACTAACAACACCTTAATTATACTCTCTGCTCTGTCACTGACATCACTCAATTCTAACCAAGATTATATCGCCTCGAAATGGCTAGCTTGGTCACTATAATTTAGTTGCAAGCTAGGGTAGAGCTGAACCGAGCTTCTCTTCTTCCTTCTTCTTTCACTAGAGAGAACGCAACTAGACCAAATATCACTTTCATTTTCTGTTCTTTTTTTTCTTTTCCCAAGGTCAAAAAGAAAAGAAGAGAAAAATGTAGGACCACTGTTGGTGTTATCATCACACATTCTTCACCCTCGTCCCTTACAAGAGAGAATACCACTAGACTAGACTGTGTTTTATCCATGTTACTGTCAAGTTTCTCCTGCACCTTCTCTTCTCTCAAGAAGAAATATAGGAGCATTAATGAGTAAATCTTAAGTTAGACGATCATTACACTTTTTTATTTTCGCTAGTTGACTTGGAAAACCTAAATTTTAATGCCTCAGCAAACGGGAAAAGCAACATTTCAATTCCTTTCCTTTCGTTTGGTTTTTTTCACCACATCTCTTTTACGCCTAAGTACATAAAGCAAATAAAAGCATCATAATTGCTTCTTTTGTTTTTGGATAATCATAATTGCATGTTTTTATGCTTAATATTAACTGTTGAATTACGAAACTAACTAGTTTCTGTGCGAAATATTAGTAAGAACACGGTATCCTGGTAGGGTACTGGAGAATATAATGAGGCGTAAGAACGTGACACAAGTGCATGATTTTGCATGAAAGGTTTGAAGAATTTGGGCTTTTGATTGCTAGTCTCTCACCTGTTTTACTTTAAATATTTTATGACATACAATCTCTGACACATATATTCGTTGCTTCATGCATTGGAGTTAGATCCCCAAGTGACGAAGCTTGGGTTCCACTTTGTTTTTCTGTAATGAGACAAAAGTTTTATCCTTCATATGACTCAATCCCTCCTCCCATAGCTATTAGTTCTTCACTTCTTTATCTTTTTACCTTCTCTAATCCACAAGTCTAGATTCCATGACTTGTAAAATGATATTTTAAGACTATGCTAACCCAAAAAGCAGTCCTCATCATTTTCATGTTGCAAGAGTGTGTCGGCTACCTTTTACTTTATTCCAATTACAATCAAAATCAGCCAATTCACGTCAAAGAACCCGTCTCCTACTAATCTAGGATAAACACTTGTTAATCCCGGGGTAGCTAGCTTGATTTCTGATCCAACAATGTCTTCTTTCTTTTTCTTCTTTGAAAGCTTATATCTATAGCAGAATGAATAATTCCACATAGTCCTCTCGCCATATTTAATCTCGCTGGCACAAGGGGGAGCTTTAATTTACCACTAAAAAATTAAGAAGAAGAGAAGTAAATAAAACAAAATCATGAGCTGCCATTTATTGTACCATGCATCACCTACTTCCTCTGTCTGATATTAATGTAGTGTATTGCAAGAGTGAAGACTACTGATTAAATGTCCAGACATGGTGAACCAGTCAAGTATTGAGGCTGACTTTGTCATGTACTAAAAGATTTCCCTCTGATAAGATAGCCGGCTTTAAACTTTATTTGCTCTCTCATAATTTCCCTTGGCCTGTCTTTCGTGCTTAAATACAAGGCTACCTTTTGTTTCCTTGCAGGATTCTTATGCATTGTGTCGTGTGTTCAAGAAAAACGGAATATGTTCTGAAATTGAAGAGCAAGGCCAATGCGCAAGTACTAGTCTATCATTAATGGAGAGCTCACGACAAGGTGTAATAAATGATCAGTATGAAACGATGTCACCAGATGTTCCCATTGCATCATCATCTTGTGTGGAAGAGGAAGACAAAGATGATTCATGGATGCAGTTCATTACAGACGAGCCATGGTGTTCTTCTAACAATGCTATGGTTGGTGGGGAAGAAATCTCTCCTGCGACATTCACTGACTAAGCAAGTTTAATTATCAAGTGATTGGTGGTGATGAATAACATGATCGAGTTAATCATTATATTGTTCTTGCAATAAGGCATCGAGTACAAATTAAAATGTTAGTAAGATCATTAGAAGGTTATTGTGTCTAATTGGTTTCATTATTTTGTCGTGGTTTTGGTTGGTGCATGGCCTCCCTAGCTAGAGCCAATTTATCAAATGGCTTCATGATGGTTTTTTTTTTTTACCTCTATTTGAGGTGATTTGGTGTTACTTGTGGAATAAAAGGGCATTAATACTAATATTTATTTTATTTTTTCCTTTTAAAAGATTGTAACTCATCATTGTTACTAGCTATCCATTGAGGCATTTTCATATTATATTTACTCTTTAAAAATGAAAATTGTCTCTCAAACGAAGAAGTTTGGAGAGGTATATTTGGTCAAAATTAAGAACCAAGCATTAGATATAAGGTATTAAAAGTGGATATTTAATTATTTATTCTCTTTAAACTACCAAATAATATTTTTATTAATATTAATTTTATCTCATAATGCAGCGTGATAGAGTATAATTTAATTACAAGAAAGGCTCTATGTCTTCGAGTGATATTTTTTATAATTCCATGTCCAATATTCTTGAGTTTAGGCTAAATGATTTTAGATATTTATAAATTATAGGCTTATGTGAATAATTTCTTCTTTTTCTTCCTCTTATTTCTTCTCGTTTCAAGTTGCCATCATTCAATGTATATTTTTGTGATAAAAAATATATTTTTTATTTTTTTTAGATCATTTTGATGTTATAATATCAAAAATAAATTTTAAAAAATAAAAATATATTTATTTTAATATATTTTTAAATGAAAAACACTTCAAAAAAATCATTAATATTTCAAAAACTACCCACATAAAAGACCTACACTAGCCCATGGCAGGAAAGATCTAACCTGTCCAATAACATGTGTACGGAGCCCAGCTCCCAATCTCTCACCTATCAGCTCAATAAAAGAGAAACCCAAATAATACCAACGATATTCAACATACCAGGTTTTAAAGTTAGTTTTTAACATAAAAAGGAGACGATGTTATCGACCATTTTCTATTATTATATATATTTTTAAATCAATAGATAAAAAGATAATGTTTGTTTTTAATAAGAGTCTTTAATGTTGATGAAAGATCTTCTTTGTAATAAAAAAAATATAGATGCACACTAAAAAAAAATTTTTTTTAGTATTAATAGGGTTCTTACTAGATATAAGTACAGATAAATTAACCATTATTATATAAATATATTAAAAAAAAATAAAACTTGAAGGGTGGTCCGGAAACATTATTTCACTCACAATGCACTAATGCACTGTGGACTAGAGCAATGCTTCTTCTTTTTGGATCCCTTAACTATTTTTTTCATCAATTAAATTCTTTAATTGCAAAATTAATAGCCAATTACTTTGTATTTGCTGGTTAGGGATAAAATTATAAGAAGAATTACCAATTTATAAAAGGCACCAACAATAAGGGGTGTGATTAAAGTTGGTGCAAAAAGTTCAATTTGATCCTTCAATTTCTAAAATTAGAACTTTTTGGTTCCTTATGTTTTTCTAAATTCAAATTTGGTACAAGACTTAATTTTTATTATTTTCCAATCCCTGATTTTAAAAAGAGAGAGAACATTTCTTTAAATTCAAAAGTTTTTGTTTTCACATATTATGATTATTAAATTGACTCGATTTTGATGTTCAGGGTTTCATTCAATAAAAATAGCATAGTGGTTATTTAAAATCTTAATATTACCTAAAAAAAATTGATTTCATTATAACATGTATTTATATGCTTATATATATTGATGACATTATTGTCACCAGCAATGATGCTATTGCTATTGATAGCTTTATTTCTAATCTTGGTTCTAAATTTGTTATCAAGGATATTCGACCACTATCCTATTTATTAGGCATTCATGTGACCAAGACAAAATGTGGCTTGCATCCATACCAAGGAAAATATGTTATTGATCTCCTGCATCACATGAAAATTACTGGCGCTAAACCAACACCATGCATATCAGGATATTACATTTATCTAAGCTCATGTTTGATTTCTTGAACTACTAGAAAACAATCCATGACAGCAAGATCAAGTACTGAAGCTGAATATCCATCAATGACATATAAGAAAGTTATTCAAAGAACTTCTTAGACCTTTACTTGCAACTCTTTGTATTTGGGATGATGATATTAGTGCTTTAGCATTGTCCTTTGGTGAAGATGCCTGAAGTTTTCACAGTTGAAATGGTAATCCTTCTCAATATGTTTTGTTCTACCATAGAAGACAAGGAGTTGCCTCATCAAGCTAGCTTTTCTTTCTCCACAAGGATGACCAAAATAAGTACACTTGGACTGTCAGAAGTGTAAAAATAAAATAAAATAAAATAAAATAATTCCTTGACGTGGTCAGGGGATGTCGAGCTCCTCCAGAAGGCTTGCCTTGCCTTCCTCTCCTGAACTCATCCCTTATTTGAAGTCTAATTTATAATCCTGACAGAAATTTGGCGCTCTACTAGACCACCTAAATGACAAATTGCACACCATATTTTCAAACATGCCAACATTACAAAACTGAGTGACCATAGATGATCGTGAATAAAGACAAGTAAAGAGGGAGGCTTCCAGCCGGGAAAAAAGAACAACAAAGAAGCAGCGGAGAAAGAAAACGATTGGGAGCTCATGCATTCTGGATAGTCACCACAGTTAACTATCTCCGCCTACAAACAACTCCAGTATCTAGCAGCCACGAAATAGCCTAAAATGAAGCACTTTTGCCAACCTTCCATTGTTCAAAATCTGCAGAACTTATCATGAAGGAACTGGCATTTCGATGTCCACCACCACCAAATTCCTGTAATTGAGCCATAAAATATATTTCAGCACTATGAACCAACATGAGTAAATAATACCCTGTTTGTTAGGGAAAAAAAAACAGGAGAGCAGAATCACAAGAAAAATGACCTCTGAGATGGGTGTTGTGTCCTCGCTATCCACACTCCTAAGGCTGATTTTCAGCATCTCATCATTTTCAAGCTCTCGTACTCTATATACAATGGCTCCAATTCCCCTACACAAGAAAACATAGGCACTACAAAGTGTAAAATAAAAGATGCACAAATTTGGCACCTTGCTTGACAAAGCTGGACTGCTTCCACAGTCCAGCAAGTTTTCATCAACTATTTGCACATACAAGCTTGCAGGTTACTTGATTTGATTTTAAGCCTGCTAACTAGTCTCTGTGTCAACTGTCAAGTTCTCTCGAACTTGGTAGCCGTTGAATGTCATCATTGAAGTTGTAACTACACGTAGTAAACAGCAAGGAGCCCAATATAAAAAATGCTTCTTTTTGTCATCATGGCAGGGGTTACCTTTTGTTTTGTTCTTTTGATGAGATAACACCAGGTACTGGAGACTGTTCAGCCTCTGTTGGGGGCACGAGTTTCGGGTTTCCTAAGGGTAGCTACAACATAGGATATCCAACACTCCTAAATCATTACAACGTGATAGAAATATCATTTTCCCAGTATCCATGATATTTTCAATAAAAGGGTATCTTTCCTTTCTGTTTTACCATCTGTTTATAATAGAGAAATAAATTTTTATCATATAGAAGAACAGAAAATGACATGTTCTGAAGTCTGAACCGTACATTAATATGCATACAATGATCATGCAAGGATTTCCAGGCAAAACATTGCATGCTTTACAATGGGAGCATGGGACTACTTGTACGGTTTGAATAAGTATTTTAAGCCTACTTGGGATTCAGGGGTATTAAATATCTATAAATATGCATGAAATCTACGTTTTTTGTTCATTTTTTCTAGAACATAAAGAAGATGAATAAGAATTTATTTGTTATGCTTTAATGCTTTCTTTCTTTCATTCAAGGAGTGATTTATTAACCATATCATTGCAGCTCTAGTAATTAGTTGATTTTGTTTATTTCTTAAATTTTAAATCTCAATTTCAATTCCTAAATCCCCTGAATTTTAATCACCCAAGAATTTTCATCTATCAACATGGATCAGATTTTCTGAAGAGAGATGAGTGCATCCATCATGTTTTGAAGTATTAAAAATGGAATAAAAGAATCCGGTGACTATTAACACATGCATGCATCTCTGATGAAGAAATATACCTTATTTAGACTAAGCTTTTATAGATAATGAGTTCAATACTAAAGACATGGATGCTATGAAGAAACATAGATAATGCTCTTCCAACCCTAAAGTTGTTTGGATTCTCTTATTCCCAAGGAATTGTATACTAATGACAGTGAACCACCACAAACACGCATAATATAAAGCTTTTTAATTAAATGAAAACAAATTGACATGCAAGCGAACAGAATAAAAGGCAAAGAAGTGTGGGTACAAATGAATTGCTTTGACTAATAACTATCACTAACCTCAACTTCAGATTACGACTCTTAGTAGCTAACTGGTGTCCTAATTCACTCCTTAACTCTGAAACTGAATCAGCATTAACAGCCTGAAAGTAGGATAATGAAATTAGAACTTCCTTTTCACTTTCTTTCCATTTCCAAGAACCATCAAAATGGAACTTAGAAGTGTGCAGAAAGAATTAGAACATAAATACAAAATAATGTTCACTATGGCCAAATTCCCATTACACAAGTTTCGTGGTTCATTTTATTTAAAGCCTAATAACCATATAAATGGAGAATAATCTGCGTTAAAAGGAAAATCAATTTTTAGAAGTTTCATTAGGAAACTCAAAAACTTAATAACAGGGATTTGATATTGACTTCGCAGTACAAGGTAACACTGATTGCAACCTTAAAATAAAACTGAACCTAACTGAGTATTAACAGATTTTGGATAAATTCCAGGGATGAAAGTGGACCTGGCAATTAAATGTTTAAAATAAGAAGTATATTTTCTATATGCAGAACCAAACCAATAAAAAGAGTAATTGGGAAGAGTACCAGGCAATGTCCAAAGGCTCCACCTCCAAGTGCAATTTCATATGACTGATCAAGGGTGTCATCTATTAACTTTTGCTTGACTGATAAACTCACCATGCCTTGACTGATGACAGACTCCAGATTCAATGACAGCAACTGCAGAATTAAACAAAACATCACTGATTTACATCTCAAGAACTATAAAGATAACATAAGTGATAATTATAAGAGGCAAATGCATGCCGCATGACGCGCGCCCACTATGTAACTGATTTATGCTGAACTTTCAATGCACAGAACAGGCAATGGAACTTCGGTTTTTATTTTCTAATGATAATTCAAGAATTATATATTTAATAAACAGAAGGAGGAGAAGAGAAATGGGCACCTGGTCGAACAAGAAGGGGTTCAATTGGGCATTGAATTCAAGGTTCAAATCTTTCAAACCACTACTAAAAGCTTTGCTATCTTCAAGTCTCCATCTCCAAAGATCCCCATCTTCTATATACTCAAATACCCGTCTAACACGATCAAATTCAGCGATTATCTCATCATAATTGTTCTTACCACTCTCTAAAAGCTTATGCTTGAAATAATCAAAAGCAATAGTAGCCCCACTCCTTTCCATATCTATAACTTTACTCACATTCTCTGCCTCAAAACTTCTACCACCTAACGCCTCCATTGCTGTTTTGTGATGATCCAATATAACCACCCTGAAGAACACAAAAACCCAAAATCCAAACATGAGCTCAATCTACCTAAGACCAAACCGAATCAATAAATTGATTAATGCAAAGGACCCCATTATTAAAATTGGTTAGCAGACTCAGTCCATGTAAAATTACTCCATGAACCAAAAACACACACACACACACACAAAAGACTGGCACCAGAAAATCAAGAAAAAAAGAGGCTTTTAAGACCTGGGAACTTTGGAGGAGAGTTGCTGGACAAAACCAGAAGGCCCCATGAAATCAAGAAGGTAGACATGACTGAATTGATGGAGAGGAAGTTGGTCTGGCTTGATGGGGCTGTAGACAGTGTTTGGAAAGAAACTAGCGGGAAGAGAAGTGGCTTTGAAGTAAAGGTGAGCTGCTAATGCAGCAAAAGCACCATCTGGGCATGGATAGTGGTAAAGTACTGCTGCTGATTTTTTAATTGAATTATTGTTGGCTACACTTAGAGAAGCCATGATGGCGGCCGCCACTTTGAGAAAGGTTTCAAGGTGGTTTTCTTGGATTTTGAGGCTTCCAAACACTATTTCAAGGAGTTTAACGAGGGTTAGGAAGTCAATCCATCACTATTTTGATAGTTTGGAGAAAGTAAGGTTTTTGCTTTTTCACAGCTTAGATTTTTTGATGATTTCTGAAATGGGAACTCGTCATCTTTATTTTCTATTTATTTTAGATAATGGGTTTTTTAAAACTACAATAAATGTTATTTTTTAATGTATTTTTTTATTTAAAAATATATTAAAATAATATTTTTTAAAATTTTATTTTATTTTAACGTAATTATATTAAAATAATAAAAATTAAAAATTATATTAATTTGAAGCTTTTTTTGTTTTAATTCACATATTAATCCCTTTATGATCTTTTTAACGTAATATTCAATGTAGTTGCAATCTATTTATTTTTATATTACAGTTACCGCTATTATGACCAGCTTGTTTTTTATATTATAACAAACTTAAATTAATACCCAAACAACTTATTTCGAGTGAATTAGGTTGACGTAGATGCCACAATTATCACCATCAGTAAGGAGCTACCGTTTCCTTGAACTGCTTGTAACTTGTTGCCTTCTTTGTTATCAACATGGTCGCTTCCACGAGCAAGTCTTCTGTTTATGGAAACACCATTCTTTAGCAGTCCTTGGTCTCTGGTCTTCACTTTTTTTGGCTTCCTAGGACTAATGTCTTTTTGGCAAATTGTTCTTAAGCCATCCTCAGCTAGTGATTGTTATTATTGTTTAGATGATGTTACTCAATGATGCCTCGTATTTATGGTAAATTCACGTTTAATAGACTCTGTTTTGCCACATGGCTTTGGCATTTCTGTAGGAAGATAGCTTTAGGAAACCAAAAACCTTGAACACGGTGTTGACAATTAAACAAGAGGTACCAGCAGAATATTAGTAAGAAGGTGTCTGTGCTTTTTTCATATGAACTTGCAATGACGCTTAAAAGCAAGTTGAAGAAATCTGGGATCTACATTTTTTTGTAATCATTGACCCATAGAGCCTTAGATGACCTTGGGAGGTATGTCACTTGAGGAAAATGAACAACCGTTCAGGAATATGTAATGTCTGATCTCCAATTTCTTGGCCGACTCAGTAATGTAATTTCATGTTAAAGTACCCAAGTTCTACGAAACCTGGGGGATGCAGATGGTCTTAATGATCCTGTCGGACATCATTGTCTGCAACTTAGGGTCTCAGTTTGCTCTCCGGACCTAATGTAGACCCTCCTCCATAGGCCCTTTATGCAAAATGCCAGGATTTCCTTCTAGTAATTTTCAAATACTATTTTCCTTTGTTCTTTCTTTTTCACAAATGTGAGATGGCTTGAAACGCTTATAAGATTTTGAATCACTCCCCTAAAGTTTTTAGATGGCAGGGTAATATTTGTGGAAGTTGCAAAACCCAAATAAGAGCTTCGCCAAAGCCAAAACTATGGCCAAAGATAGTTTTGAAGAGCTAATCACTGCATGCTATTATGGGGGTTGATCATCAAACATAGCTTAAGAAAACAAGGGCTGCTTGAATTGAGAAAGCTGAATCTGCGTTATTCTCTCTCACTGAATTTTTAAGTCCAGGTAATCAAAATTTTCTACTTTAATGCAATGCAGGATACTCAGGGCTGGTGGCAGTCATTCTGCGGCCAACTGTCACCACCACCCACCACCTCCTTTTCAACCAGCAGAAATCGTCAACTGGTGAATGCGAAGTCTTAAGAAATGGCAAAGGAAGTGTTTTAAAATTATTAGAAAATGATGTACCATTCATTGGGATGCATGCTCTTACCATGAGACATCTTTGATTGAACTGGGTTTAGCTGCTAAGTATACAATCATAGAAACATGAGTTCCGGCGAAGTCAAGAAACATCAACTTCCACAGAGAGATCTAACGTTGAACTAGTCAAAAAAAGATATGTCAAATGCGATTGGAAAAATGGCAGCACCTTTCTCCACTGATGAATGTAAATGGCACTGGTTCATGCGCCTTCTGCAAGTCACATTCCCTTCGAACATTCATTAATTTGTCAATGAAAACAGGCAATATCATGAAATCTTAAAAACAGTGTTTCTAATAGAATTGGATTGGAGAATCGAGTTTGGATTGCATAGGCTGCTACTAAAAAGGGGTATTTCTACCAGTACATACAAGAGTACAATTAAGTACATTAACAATACGAAACAATTGCAATAGCGAGTAATGAGCCACTAGCACTTTCAATAGCAACGGACGAAAATGAACATCTTTATCATCTGGAGAGACTTTTCAATTCTGGAAAATGAACAAGAATGATTAAACCTGAGTGTTCTATTTTTCTCCTCGAAGAACATCCAGAAGCACTCTATTGTTCAACTTCTGAAACAATAAACATGAAACTGCGCAAGTATGCTGCAATCAATGAGGACCCTCAGCATCTCAAATGTGCTAGAACATACAGTAACTTGACGGGATCTTGGCAGAGAAACTGAAAGAAAAAAATGATATTCTAAGTGTATTTACTAAAATATTCGTCAGTGATCATCTTAAATACCCTATAGCATCCTCATCCAATCTAAGCCAGCTCTTTAACCCGACTATGAGTAGGTTAATAGAGTTAAGGAAAGGGGATACTATGAGCATACTCGAGCTCTTTGTCGCTCTCGCTCTTCATATACAATCACCGTTGACTTAACGTCTCTCTCCCCTAAACATCTTTTGTATGGCACAAAACCCCTTGTACACTTCTGGAGGCTGGGTTTTCCCTCAACAGAAGGTTGTCGACATTGAGAATCAACAACATCCAAACTCTTCTCTACATTCTCCAATTCACCAACTGATCCAGCATTCGAACCAGTACAAGATCTTTCATTAAGAATTTCCTTTTCTTCTGACCTTTCTGCCATATATGAAGGTGTGGCTGCGGGTGGGGAGGTATGGTCATATGATGTGGGGATATATGAAGGTGTGGGTGTGGGTGTGGGTGTGGGTGGGGAGGTATGGTCATATGATGTGGGGGGTAAGACTGACACACCATTGCCAAAAAACCAGCATGGTATGGAAGGGTTAGTTGCAAAATAGTTGGCAGTCCCTCTCTGTAGTTCTGTGCATTCAAAAACTGACGCTGGAGATGGCAACTGGTTCTGATCACTATTTTCCATTCCAAGTGATAACTCATTGTCTGATTGTTTCAGCAGCAGTGTCTGAGCAGGCTTCTCTTTGTCAGTATCAACATTGTCTTGATTCTCATTGGATGTCATGGACAAAACAAGTTCTGCACCTGGAGGAGATTTTTTTTGTGAAGCTGCTACCATGACCGTCATTCCAAAAAGCTTTATACTGGTGGAAGATGCTTCTTTGGTGGCATCACCTTCAGCAGATACAGTGTCATCTGAACCCAACTCAAATTTCTGAACATGAAATTACAATAATGAAATTAGAGTTAGAAACCTAGCAAGGATATGGGCTTGATATAGGAAACAAACAAAAACTAAGGTGAGCTTGACAGGATATTCATCTTACCTTGGACAAAAAATTTTCCAGGGGTGAACAAGACATTTGGATCAATGAGATAGTTTCTTTGTCCTCTTCTCTGGATGAATTTGATGTTAAATGCTCAGCTTCTTTTGCAACTTGGCAGGATATTCATCTTACCTTGGACAAAAATTTCTCCAGGGGTGAACAAGACATTTGAATCAATGAGAAAGTTTCTTTGTCCTCTTCTCTGGACGACTTTGATGTTAAATGCTCAGCTTCTTTTGCACTAGGTTGCATGTCAGTGGTACATGAGGTAGGAGAAGAGCATGCGTTATGCTGCTCTGAAAGCGCAGTTCCCAAAGTATCTGAAGCCACTGCAGATAAAACAGAGGTGGGAGATAGGTTATCTTTTTCTGATGCTGATGAATTAGGGGATGGGGATCCATCCAATTGACTAGATGCTGGTGTTCCTTTGTGGATGTCAACTGATTTACGAGGATAAGGATGTGCAGGTTTCCTCTTTGGTCGAGGAGGGGGTATCTCAATTGGTTTGAGAGAGCTCTCATTACCACCACTTGACTCCCAAACCACCTGACATCAAGAAGAGAAATGATGTTAATATGAAATCCATTCAAATCAAATAAACTCGCTGAAGATTGCTTGCAGTCCATACGTTCATAAAGGATAATGAATGATAGATAAGTTGGTAACTTGATCACAAGAACCAGACCTTGGAGAAAATTTTTTGAGCATGGCTTCGAATTTGAACAGCAGTTTTGGTGCCCACATGCTCTGAATGAAGATAAGAGCAACTTCATCGTATTGCAACATATCAGAAAAGCCTCAAATCACAATAATATGACCTTATATTACACTTACCTTGTATTTTACGCCAGCCACGACCATACAGCTTTAAGGCTTCCAGGAATCTCTGGTGCTCTTCTTCTGTCCATTTTTCCCTTTGTTTCGTAATAGTGTAAGGCTTCCTCACCTATTGAAATAGAGAGGAAATTCCAAAACCATGAACAGAGGAAAATGGAAAAGGCGGTCATTGAAAAATCACATCAGAAAGACGAGCATGATTGTCCCCCAATAGGAAAGAATGGAACCTTGGGAATATTGTCACTCCCAAATGAGTGCAGCTCATTCAGCTGGAGAACCATTTCAGATTGTTCACTGCCATTGGTACAGCAATCACTTGCTTCACCAAAGGAGTTTTGCTTTGTGACTTCAATTCGCTCCTGTATCCAATCAATAGTATTAGCCAAATAGTTCTCCTTACACTAGCAAGAAATTATTCACAAATTCCCATTGGAAGGAAATAGAAAACACAGCTAGTGAACACAAAATGGATTACACCATTTCCCCAACCTTTTATTCAAAATGGTAATAGCATTATGTAAATAAATAAATTATGCGCCGCTCTCAGTTACTACTTCCTCACACCCAGAACCTGAACGGCTGAATCACTGTAACCATTGCCAGTCAACTTACAGACGCTATACATCAAATATATCCATAATTTTCTCATAGGACTCCACTTCGGTGCTACCAAAACCGCACAGCTACATTCTTTTTCTTCTTTTTTTTAACTACTCAAAATCTTAAATTACCATCTTCTAAACTCAATGCAAAAACATGGCTTAACACAAAGCTTCTGATGGGGTCATACACTAATCAGTAATTAAAAAACAATTACAAAATAAAAGGGACAGGTGTAATTATTCATTTGCAATTTACAGCATCGTAAAGAAACCCATTTCAAGTTTAAAATACCAAAGTTAATAAATGTAAAAAGGGCACAAAATTAACTTATAAAAAAGAAACAAAAAAAAAAGAATCCATAAGTGATCACAGAAAAACTTAACATCTTAAATTCAAGTAAACATGCATTAAAGAAACAAGAAAGTAAGTACCTTAGCAGCAGCAGCCATTGAAATGGGTTTTCTTTCTTGGATCGGTAAAAAATAAAAATCCCCTGAACATTAATGTCATTGATCAACATCATCACCATCATCAACTAAATCAAAAAACACTGTAAAAACCCACTAGATTTTAATTTTCTTTTAGCTTACTAATTCCAGATATCTAACACGACCAGATATTTTTTGCTGCTACAGTACAGTACAAAATAATTTTGTTTTGGTCAAGGAAAGACTCAGATCAAAAACAAACTTACCAGAACAAGAAAATAAAAAAATAATCCGATTCGAATCCCCGGTAATTGAAACTAAACACTTTCAGTTCAGTTCAGTTCTGTTCTGTTCTGTCCTGTCTAGGCTAGCAACAGCAAACAAGAAAATAAAAGAAAAACAGTAAGGAATCAGATTCCGAGGAATTAGTTTCCTTGGAATCTGATGATCAGAAAAGCTGTGTTGAAAATGTAAGAGAAGAGAGAAGGCACCAGGGAAATTAAATGATGGGAACAGGGAAGGGAAGGAAAGGAAAAGGTGCCGGTGCCACGTCAGTTAATAAAAAATAATTTTCGTGGAAAATTCGAGAAGGGGCATTGGAGCTCTTGTGGCTCAAATTCAACAAGGCGTGTTGTTAGATTTTTTTTTTAATTTTTTGTGGGTCTTGGAAGATTAAGGTAATAAATATGTGGGGCTGTTAATTAATTCGCAAATCAGAGTGTTTTTTTTGTTGTAAGATTCTGTTTATCTATTGGGACTTGGGAGGAGGAAGGAGAAAGAAACCACTTCTTATCCATTATTATTTCTCTGAGATTTTTCTTTTAAGAAGATTGTGATTTGTGCGTTACTGTATAAAAGATTTTTTTAATTTCTAAGTTATTGTAGATTTTTTCCCT